TATAGATAGTTATGTAATTATGTCGTTGTTTGCCTAGGCTTAAATATCTTAACTGTAACTCTGTTGTAATTCTGTATTTGTCTTTATTTAAATGTGTTTCTCTGTTTTTGTCTCTTTTATATTCTTTATTTTAGATCAAGAGTCTCGAGTATTATTCCTAGACTACACACATACATACATTCACACATACTGAAATAGCCTTAAAAACAAAACTGACTTAAATAGTAGTTGTAGCTGTTGTTGTTGTTGTTGCTGCTGCTTGGTTCGATTGCAAAGGCAGCTCTCAACTAAATCATTCAGTTTATATACACGTAAAATAATCATATTCATAATCATGATCAATCAAGGCAGCAACAACAAATCGACGACATCGCACTACAATGTGATACTACCTAAAACTTTGCCAAATTGGAAATTCATATCAAAAACTCCAAATTTATTTAGACGAATGTTTTTTTTTTTTTTTTTTGGTTGTTGTTGTTTTTGTAAGGCAAGTGTAACTTATAGCTGAGTTGAGGCCATGAAAATGAAAATGAAAAAAAAAAGAAAGAAATTACAAAAGTAAATATGAAAGAGAAACACACAACGTCAATTGTGTTGCATTGTGTGAGTATTTGTTATAATTTATGTATGTAATTTATATCCATATGTTAAGATCTTGCATGTGCTTCAGTATCTATACCCCTGCATCCCAACCCAGCTTGATTATTATTCAGTTTATGTGCTTTGTATTCCCCATTCCAGTTAACACAGCTATTAACCATTATTATCTTGATATATATATATGAATATCCATATATGAGTATAATAATCTCTCTCTCTCTCTCTCTCTCTGATCTGATCGCAGCCCTCGGCGCCCAGCGATGTGGCCGACCGTCGACGCTTCATCGTACAGGCAGTGGAGGCCGTGGAGCCGGACAACAGCACCCTATACAGCGTCTAGGAGGGCAACCCAATTACAATACTTATTTATATAAAACCTATAGCTTTACTATCATACATATGTAGCTATATGCATCGATATACCAACGTATATATACCTATATATATGCCGTTCATTTATTTCAGTATTGCCAATTCTTTCAATTCGTAGTTCTTTTGTGTGTGTTTGCTTGGCTGCCCGACATTGTGCATTCCATTTAATCGTTACTAGTATATGTTCTATCTTCCATAGCCAATTTAAGTTTTAATCTTTGCGCATTTTAAAATCACATTTCTGTCCAGTTAGCTCTTAGTCTTAAATAGCAAACGCAGTTACATTGTCTTTGTCTTTGTATGAATTAGTTGTAGACTGCATAATGATATATTACTAGAATTCCTATATTATACATGCATATATATACATATATATATATGTACACATATGTATATATTATATTGAACATTTTCGTTACATTCAAAGATGAAATTAAAAAAAAAAAATAAATAAAACACTTTTAAAGAAATACAAAAAAATTATAACCAATAAACTTGAGTTTTCTTTGAATCTATCGAGCTCTGAAATAAACTTTACTAAAGCCTAAATTTTTTGATCAAAATGGCATTTCAATTCATGATTTGAGTTCAGATATATGGTATAATTCATGGTTCTGTAGATAAGTTTTTACATTTTAGGACAAAAAAAAAAAAATGATATTAAAATAAAAATAGTCTTTTTAAAGGAATAAAAAATTTTAATCTAATATGATAAATTTTTATAAGTAGATAAGTAATAAGTGCGTTATAGTAGAAAATTGATTAAGTTGCTCAACCCTTTATCTGCTTAGAGTGCATCGCTTCGAACTCCCCACCAAAAATGTTGGTATCATAGTTTTGGGCTTTTGGAGATATCCGAATATCTTGTGCTCTCAGCACGAGGCGTAAACGGCGTCTATAATGGAGGATCGGGCGGATCCGCTACGGTGGCTATGTAAGGATTGAAGTGAATAATAAAGTGAATGTCTCCAACTGACGGAACGATAGCAGACATGTAACTTCAAACAGGATCCATCGATTAAGGGCACAATGAGTCCACTCGCTGCGGGACCATACAATTAGAAATCAGCTTGTGATCAGCCGAGAGAGGTACAATTGATACATTGATTTGCTTTTAATTCAAGTGATCCATTAAGATACATTAATGTTGCATGATTGATAGCTACAATTATTGGAATCTCGGACATTATGTTAAGGTAATTTACGGGGTAAAGCACAAGTGATCTCGCTGGCATTACCATTAGGCATCATATTCTCATCATCATCATCATCATCAACATTATCATTATTATTATTATTAACATCATTGCTATCCAATGTCATCGTCGATTGGGACATCATCCGGACATTGCATATAGATTTGTATATCCAGTCTGTAGCTGAGCTGCTCGAGCCGACGTCGAGCGATCGGATCTCATTTGACATCGAGAGTACGCTGGAACATGTGCATGGCCAAGGAGCGCAATCCCTCGCTGACAATGGGCACGTTGCGTGGAAAATCACATTCGCGAGCGGGCAGCCCGCATAGCTGGCGCCGCAGGCGTAAATCCTGGCGTGAGCTCAACGCCCGACTGCCCGGCCCGCAAACGTTGCCGACCAGACGCTGGCGCTCGGCGGCGGCGCTGCGCAGGCCCATCTGGACGCAGGCCAGCGGCTCCACATGCTCGGTGTCCAGCAATTCGCGATAGTCGTGCGCCGGCGTCGTCTTGCCCGTCTCGACCGTGTCGTGTTCGGGCTCTGTCTTGACTAGCGCCTGATTCTGCTGCGCCATTTGCTCCTCCAGCAGCAGCTGCTGTCGCGATTCCTCAATTACTTGCCGTGCATATTTCGCGCCAGCCATGCCAAAGCTGATGCCCATATCGAGCAGCACGCGATGTGGCTGCCATCGCTGTTTGGCCGATGTGTTGCGATCGGCGCCCTGCTGTGCCGCGTGCTCCGTTGCCTGCTGACGCGTCTCCGCGATCAAGCCCTGCCAGTCGACGCCCAAAGCATCACCAATGCCTGTAAAGCGAAGTGCATGAATTAAATTTGTGCTGTCATCCTGCATCCAACATTTGCTTGGAAGGCAGAGGATTTATTCATCCATTTTTATCTTAGAGTTCTTGCTGTTGCTCTTGTCTCTTACCCTTGTGCCTCGCGTCCTCTTCCAATTCGCCATCGGATATCTCCTCAAAGTCCAGCACCTCGTCCACGTCCTCGTTCTTAATGTTTGTCTGTGACTGACACTGCGACTGTGACTGTGACTGTGACTGACTCTGTGACTGAGACTGTGACTGTGACTGTGCCTGTGACTGCGACTGAGGCTGCATTTCGCCTTTGATGTGCTCGTCACTGTTGGACAGCGTGTCACCGGACAGCTCCTGGGTGCCAGCCAGTGCGCCCTCCAGTTGCAGCTCGCTCTTGGGCTTCACCTTATCCGTTTTGTTCAGTATATCGTCGTCACTGTCGCTGATCTCGCTCAGTTCGCCGTTGGGCTTTGGCTCCTCTTTCAGCTGACGCAGGGACGTCTCCATGCCCGCGGCCTGCTCTGCTGCCGGCTCAGTGGCTCCGGTGCTTTGGCCGGGCTCTGGCATGTCAACGGAGTCCTCGGACGCATCCTCCTGCTTAATGTTTGGCAACTTGCTAACCTGTGCCAAGATTCCTGGATTGGTGGTGGCATTGGCTGCGCTCTGTGCGGCTGCCTTGGCAGCGGCCACTGCTGTGGTGGCCGCCGCTACGGCGCTGGCCTGTGCCGCGGCATTGCTTGGCTTGGGCTGGGCATGGGCCGGTGCCTGGGCTGTGGACACCGTTGCAGCTGCTGCTGTGGGCGGTAGATGTGGGTGCTTCTTGAGAAATGTGTTGCCTCCCATGCCGGCGCCTCCGCCATAGGGCAGACGCTTGTGCGGAAAGCCACGCGTGCTGCCGCCGCCGCCGCCATGATAGCCACCGGGCGGCTGCACCGGCAGTGTCATTAGAGGCGGTGGATGCGATCTGTAGCCGCGCTCGCCATGCTCGTGACCGTGCGACGGTGCACCGCCACCACGCCGGAAACCGCGCCCACCACCCCGCTCCCCGCGTGCGTGCACATGATGATGCGGCGAGGATGACGGCGGATGATGAGGCGGCTGCCCCTCGCCGCCGTTGCCATTGCTGCGACCGAAGCTCGGCTCATCGTTGTCGCGCCAGTCATTGTTGGGCTGCTGCCAGGGGCGTGGCTTGTCGCGCTGATCGTGCTCGAGCCAGGCTGGCTCATTCTTGACCACACCGACGTTGCCGTCGCCGCACTCCTCGCGTTCATCGGCATCCCAGTCGGGCTCCGAGGCGGAATGATGCTGCTGCTTGCCCGGCTGCTGGCTCGATGGTTTCGGCCGCTTGGGGCCACCCACGAAACCGGCGGTACGTCCAGGTGTGCCGCTGCCATTGGCGCCACCGCCGCCGCCGCCACCGCTATTCCCGCCCCCACCGCCGTTATCCTCATCCCAGTCGCGCTCCCATTCGGCACGATAATCGCCGCGTGACGGCAAACGCTCGCGCTCCCGCTCTCTGTTCCGCTCACGTTCGCGTAACATGCGCTCCCGCTCCTCGGCATAGAGTGCATCATCGGCGTCCAGCTCCCGATAGTCGCGTAGGTCGCGCGCCTCTAGCCACGCCTCTCGATCCCTAGAGTAGCGCGCATCCATATACGCCCGCTTATAGGCCCTGCAACAAAAGAATTGCGTAAAATTAGGCTCTGACATGCGAAGGTTCTCCGAGCAGCTAATCTTGGGTGAATGAGAACTGGGAGGAAGAGACTAAACAAACTAAATTCTAGATTCTCTAGTTGATTAGCAAGGGTCAATTTCTGTGCAGGGGCAATCGTCATATACAATATATAGTTACCGCTCTCGCTCCTCCTCCGAGTAGAGATCGCGCGGATCTCGTAGACGTGGCGGATAGTGATCGGGCAAGGGGCTGAGCTCGCGACGCCTTTGATCACCGTATCGTCGCATCTCGCTGATCAGGCCATGGCGCTCGGCCTCGATTAGCTCCTGTTCGCGCTCGTAGACGTCCAAGTCGCGCTTGTCGCGCACATGACGACCAGCCCGATCCACGGTCTCCAGCGAACGCTCGCGACTGCCGTATGGCATGGCCATTTCCATGTCGCGTACACCGGGCGCACCATACGGCTTCTTGCCCTCCTCCTCCTCCTGGCGGCGCAGCTTCTCGCGTGCCAGGCGCTCTCGCTCCCGCTGCCGYTCTTGGCAGCGCGCCAGTGCCTCGGCTCGCTCCTTGTCACGAGCCGCCTCACGCTCGGCACGCTCTCGTTCACGATCGCGCCGATCCCGTTCCCGCTCACGTAGCGATAGGTCATCGTGGCGCTGCAGCTTGTGCTCGTGCCGCTGCCTCTCGTGCTCCCGCTCTACGCGTTCGCGCTCCCTCTCTCTTTCGCGTTCTATGCGCTCGCGCTCGCGCTCTCTCTCTCGCTCACGCTCTAGCGACGGAGTGCGTCCACGCGTTCGTGTCTGGATGATGATCTTCTCGCGTGACATGAGCTGATGATGCATTCGGGCGGTGGGCGTGCCATTTGGCCCCAGGCCCGAGCCGGGACCTGGACTCTTTTGCCGCTTGCCCAGCACATCCTGATGTATGCGTATTTTGGTGGTGGTCGTGGTGCTGGAGGCGCCAGTGGGCGATCGACTGCTGCCTAAGCGATGGTGATCCCGATCGCGCTCCCGCTCCCGTTCTCTATGCACACTCCGCAGCTTTTCGCGCTCCCGTTCTCGCTGCTCCTTGCTGGCCACACGCAAATGCTTGCGCTCCGCCAACTTCTTGAGTTTCGCCTGTGTGGCTGGGGACAGGGCGCGATGCCCGTGTCCACTCAGCGCAGCAGCTGCTCGCTTCTTGAGGCGCGCCTCCTTCAGCTTGCGCTTGATATGATTGCGTTTTGCAACCAGTTTCTTCTGAACATGATCTCGGTCTCGGTCACGATCGCGCTCTCTGTCCCGCTTGTCGCGCTTCCGTCGCTCGTCGCCCGACGATGTGCTGCCCGTGCGACGCGAGCTCTTCTTTTTCCGGTGATGACGCTCAGCTGCACGCTGATGCGGATGGGCATGACCATGGTGGTCCCGTTCGCTGTCCGAGCTGCTGTACGAACTACTGCCACTGTCTGTGTCCGTGCTGGAGCTGTCGCTGCTCGAATGTGTGTGCCGTGACTTTTTATACCGACGCAATTGCTCTTTGGCCTTTTTTTCCATCTCCATCGAAATGCACTTCAAGAGTAAAACACACTTTCTTTACTGCACTATTCCCGCGCTTTCCCCGCTACGAATGCTTAGTTTTCTTTTGGTTGCACTTTTGTTGATGTTTTTGTTTATTGCTTAGCGTCGTCTTTATTGTAATTTTGTGGCTAGAATTTGTCAGCTTATTTATTTTTCTAATTTAGAATTGCATTGTGTTAAAGTTATCGATATATTTACAGCTCTGTCGATGCGTTGGCAATGTTGTGAGCGATTGCCAACAGGTGTCGCCCTAGTGAGCACAATGAATGGCGCCAAATTGTAGGCATATTTGAAATTCATATAAAAGCGCAAACATTTGGTAACTCATATTTTATTATTATATTATCTCTCACGAGGCCGTACATACTTTGTTCTTATATTTACTTTTACAATATTCATATAGAAGTTATTCATAGATAAAGAAACATTTGGTCATTCATATATTGACATTTTATTCTTATATTTACTTATATAATATTGATATAGAAGGAACATCTTTGAGGCCAAGCTTTTGGTCACTCATATATTGACTTATATAATATATTTCTAGTTTCTAAAGATTAAGTAATTTACATACTACTTGGCCGAGGTTTCTAACTAACAGTTGGCCGTAATTTGCAAAATAAGAATGTAAGTAAGAATATCTTTAAACTTAACTTGAGGCACTTGGATTATTCGTAGTAAAAGGTTTACATAATAGCTACAGCTTGAAGATTGAATATGCATTATGCCTTCGATGTTTCATTTCGATGAGTGTTCTGTGTTTGTTGTTGCCCTCACTCGGTTCCTTCTGTGTGTGCTCTTAGGTGGTGAATGCCTCATGCCAAAGACTGTGTTAATGATAATAGAACAATAACAACTGCAATTTACGGAAGGGCCAAGCCGGCGTTCAGTTGCTCTATCACTAAAGCTTGCGGAGCTTCTCAGGCACAATTAATGGGTTATCGCGGCGTATCTCGTTGGCACCCATTTCACGATAGTCGAAGGTGCAATCATGGCGATCGCTATATCGATGGAATGCACAAAAGGTGCCACCGCAACGGCAAGGAAATCCGCCGGTCAGACCAAATTTCTTGCCACACTTGTCGCAGCCCTTCTTGCTCGGCTGCTCCTGAGCCTGACCCTGGCCGCTGTCAGCAGCTGATGGAGCAGCTGCCTGCTCTGACTCACCACCAGACGGCTGCTGATTGCCGCCCTCGGCCTGCTCATCCACTTGCTGGTGCTCATCTGGTAGATCTTCGACGCATATGGACAGAGGGCTCAGTGCAGTCCCGGTGCCTGGTGTCACATTTAACGGTGCCCTCGAATCCATGCTCTTTGACTTAAACGTGCGCGCGGTGTTGCCATCAGTCGAGATTGACTCAATTGCGCCCTCATTCGCATTGGCAAAATCGCGGATTTTTCCATTATCCATCTTAACCGGGTCTTCAGATTCGATCGTCAAAGTCTTCAGTATAAATTTTAGTGAATTTTGCTGCCCAAGTCTACTACGACTTCCAAGTGTCTGAACAACCAGCAGATGAATGTGCATTAAAGCTACGCAAAGCCAAAAAATCAGTTAGTTATGGAACAACTGCTGCCAGCCCGGCCCCTAACAAACTATCGATTATCGAATTTACTATACTTATTTCTAGTTAGATCAAATAACACTGGATTTTCAAATGTTTTTGTTCTGCTCGACTGCTCGACTGCCCAAGCGATTAACCAACACCAAAAATCCAAACATCTTTTATCATTAATTACACAAGCTAAATACATATGTCTGTATGTATGTATGTATGTATGTGGTCCCAATCACCTAATTGCTTGCATTATCGCCAGCCTAGGCGTTGCCATTGATGACGTCCTGCATGTGGTGGCGATACCAATCGCCCACCGTGGTGCGCAGCACACAAACAAAGGCGCCGTAGCACCAGTCCAGCGCCGTTCTGGCCGAGCGACGCGCATGCGCATTGCAGCCATTGATGGCCGGCACGGTCTGCTCCAGATTCAGACGCCTCGGGCCGCCAAAGCTTTCGACAATGCGCATCGGATCGAAGCCGGTGCCATCGTGCCACAGCTGTAGGCGCGTCCAGAAGCAATAGACATAGCGATGCACATAGGGTACATTGCTATACTGCTGTCTGTCCAGGGCCAGGCGCTGATTCGGGCTGATCCGCTCGCTGCGGAAGCATTGATCTCGAGCACGCAGTATGGCCAGCGATTGGGCGGATCGGGCTGAAGGAGTGGGTGGTGGTGGCGGCGGCGGCAAAGCCAACGGGCCGCATTTAGCCAGTAGCGATAGCTGTAATTGTTCAATGGGCAATTGCAATTATCGTGTTATCGATAACATGACCGTTGAGCGAACCGAATTCAAAAGAATTGCAAGCGCAATTTCAAAGTTAATTACGCTTAAACAGGTTTTCTTTTAGCATACAATCTGAGCATTTAAATAAGTTAAGCTAAATTGTAAATTGCACATGAGCCACTTCTAATTGCGAGACTCAGATACGTACAGTCACAGTTAAAAGTCTTTGCACACCACGTAATTGTTCTTTGTTCAGTGAGTGACGCAACAGTTTTTTTTCTTTGCCATTCTTTGCGACGGTTTTTGTCCAAGTCTCACAATTTAGCGAGCTATTTCGATATTGGACATGAACTGCAAATTTGTCACAAAATTAAGAGAACTGTGAATGGAAAACTGATTTAAAATTTTGTACAATTTAATGAGAAAACAAAACTGAAATGTATATGTAAAGCTGAGCTGAGCTGAGTTTTGACTAGGTCTGCCCTGATGTACTTGTTGCAGCGCCTCAAGTAGCCTCCGACTAGGCTTAATTGAGCTAATGACTCACCAGCAGCGGCATCAAGATCAGCATTCGCACGAATGTCATCTTGGGTTCACCTATAGAGCAGCACTGAGCGACATCTGGATAATCGCGTACAGCATCTGTGAATTGCTGATTGCGCTTATCAAGCTGAGCGGATCGTTAGAGCGGCAGGCGCAGCGTTGATAGCCATTGCCATTGCCATTGCCACTCTGATTGTTATTGCTAGCCACAATCGTGCCGCCCAACCACCCACCAGATGATCGACTGCAGCAGGAATGACGTCAGCAAAATGGCATTTGGCACGTTACGTACGTAGTTGAAGCCAGAACCGTATCCAGTTGGGTAGGCAATCGAATTGGATTGGCAGTCACAGCTGCCGTTCGTCATCTGTTTTATGTTAACACATAAGTCGGGCATATAATAAGTATTCACAATCTTTCTCTAGCTGTGTGTGTGGGTGTGTGTGTGTGTGTAGATAGATGATCACTTATGTAGATCATGTGCATATGGAACGCAGCGGCAACATTTTTGTAAGATTCCACACTTGTATTCGCTTGTAAACAATATTTGCGTTTCACTTCTCCTCTGCCCTCTTCTCTTTACATGTATATACCTATAAATATATATATTTTGTATTTGATATTTTTGGGTGATCTTGCAAATGGCGCAGAAGCTAAAAATCCATATCCAAATCGAAATCCCCTACACCCCCATCACATCGAATAGCAAATCAAATTGAATTCGATTCGACAGGCAACCGAAACGAGCGCATTAAAATTGATTGCGTTTAAGTATATTAACATCTAATAGAACTTTAGAGCAAATCTCCAAGGCTGCTGGGCCCGGACTGCTTGCTTGCTCGCCTGCCTGCCTGCCTGCCTGCCATCTGGACGTGATCATCATGTGCTCCCCTCCCTACCCTCTGTCTACAATTATCGCTAACATTTTGCTGCAATGTTTTCTCGAAATGCCCGTGGCATTTAGCATTGCAAGATCAGTCAGTTACAAATGCGGAAATACTATATATGATATAATATATTATATCCACATATGTATCATAGGATCCATCATAATATTCATGCATATATTTATACTCTATATCTATATGAGATATATTAATATATCATATATTACCTTAATTTCTCTAGAAGTGATCTGTTCAACTCCAACAGATATACACATGTATATGTATGTATGTATCTATTAATAAAGCGGATCCCAAAGTTAGTGTCTTTAAATGTATTTTTAGTAGATCAAAAACAAATATTTTTAGGACTTCTTTCTTTCTCTGATATTGCACATGCATCATCCGCCTGGCTGTTCATCCATTTCGAGTTTCAAAACTAATTACGAGTATGTATGGAAGTACTTACTTGGTAGTACTTACTTACCTGGTAACAGTTGATAAAAATGTATAAAAAAGGGGAAGCTTTTGTATGCTCTATGTCGCCTTGAAAATGGGCATTCTGGGTATAATGCTATTGTGGCAAGGTATGCAACAGGTAGATGACGACATCGCAGAGTATAAGGCATTTTTTTCTTGGGCAGCATGACGGGCTTGAGCACCACAAATTTTGGAAATTACAAATTAAATGTGGTGGTTACGATCATGAATACGTAGTCTTTATAATGGATACTGCAAAGCTCTGTACTTTCCTTAAATTTAAATAGTAATGCATAGCTAAATACACGCAGCGTTTTGTCATTATCATGCACTTTCCGAGAGCAGCCTGAGCGAAGCCTAAGCATAGCTTAACCACAGCCCGATTGCAGCCCAAGCGCAGCCTAAGAGCAGCCCAAGAGCAGCCCACGAGCCGCCCAAGCATAGCCCAAGCGCATCCCACGAGCACCCCAAGCGCAGCCCAAGAGCACCCCACGAGCACCCCACGAGCACCCCAAGAGCAGCCCAAGCGCAGCCCAAGAGCACCCCAAGAGCAGCCCATGAGCAGCCCACGAGCAGCCCAAGAGCAGCCCAAGAGCAGCCCAAGAGCAGCCCAAGAGCAGCCCAAGCATAGCCCAAGAGCAGCCCAAGAGCAGCCCAAG